ACAGGCGATCGAAGCGAGCAGGTCTGTTTGGTGTTCCCATCCACGTGGACTCAAAGTAGGATGTAAAGGCATCCATATCTGCGGGGAGGGTAGGTCTAAGGGTCTGCCATTCGTAGTGGACGTCCTCAGGAGGGATGAAAGGAAGAGCTCCCATCCGTTGGAAGGCTTTCCGGATGCCGGATTCAACCACCTGATACTCCGGAACAAGGTCGAAGCGAGCGAAGTTCCTCCATAGATCCTGTTTGAAGTGGAAGTAGCAGCCACGTAGAGTAGTCCCCGGCCAGACAGCAGTGACACTGTTACGTAGTTCATACCATCTTCGAGAGGCTGCTGGTCCGACATCCAAGGTTAGCTCTGCACTCGAAGTCCAGTCCTGAAAGAACTTCAGCAACGATCCGTTTAGTTGATGTGTCCGATGTCGCTGCACGTTCCTTCATCATCTTCTTAGAGCGATGGACCAGGATGTCTGCTTTTTGTTCATCGTGGTTGTGGTTCGGAGAGTTCTTTACTGTCTGTTCATGAAGCACCAGTCGAGCCAGACAGCCAGGAACAATACAGATCCAGTAGGCCACCAACATTATCATTTCTCTGTTAAATATCCGTTTTTGAGCAATTTATAGAATGCTAAGTTTGGAATTAGATCGTATTGAAAATTCCATTCTTCACCAAAACTCGCAATACTCATGATATACTGAGTACTCACATAAAGAAGTAGCTAAATTCGAAAGCTAGACAATGACGACGCAATATATAGCCGTCCAAGCAAGAAATTACCCTAAAGTTCAGGTTCACTCAGTACTCAGCAGGGTTAGGCTAACACGTGTTCATGAATCACGTGACATTTGCATTTTCACGTGACCCAGACTTCACAGCCAACGTGCACAAGACAACAAACAAACCTTGCGAGTCTGTCAGGAGGACCTCATGAGTACTTCAGTAGTAATCATGATTTGCTAGACTACTATACTACAGCCACTATAGTACTCTCTTACAGAAGTTCTGTTGAGTGGTGATGGTGATTGACACCTTTTGAACCAATGAATTTGCCACTTATTTGTCGCATCGCTGAGATCTAGCCTATCAAATTCGTCGGTTAGGTCACGTGACAGCATTAGTCAGACTGGACGATCTTCATTGTGAGGGAAAAAGTAGATCTTCATCTTGATTGGGGCTACGAATAATATTATAGCCACTGTGGCTTATTATATTGATTGTATTGATGGCAAATATGAGGCTTAGAATGTACAGAGAATTACTTCTTATTCTGCAGGTGAACAACGTGCTTACTCACTACTGAAATATTGCACGCTAAGTTCAAGGTTTACCCGTAATTACTAGTAAAACGTCAACTTAAACTTAGAAAAGATTCTGTTATGTAACGATTTTGGATATCACCCAAGGAAAAGGAGTACCTGTGCCATGTTTCAGGTCCTAGGTGTGGACAGTCTTTTTCAACAGTTGAGGTTTACCTTTTTTAAGTTTAAGTTTTAAAAGTTTTACTAGTAATTACACTATCTAACTCAGTGCTGATGTAATTTGACTCGCTTGATGCAAACTGTTTTGACAAGTTTAGAGGCAAGACCTTTCCCTATGAGGCTCTTCAATTGTTCAGTAAGTCAACATGAGAACAGATTTAAGCTTAACTAATATTAATATTAAAAAATTGAAAGATTTACAGTCTGACTAGTCATTATCAAGAAGTGCGAGAGGATGATAGGTTGAAGCTCAGTGCTTTAATGCGACTCACTTAATATTATATGGCCTGACACGGACATTTATAGATGATCAACATGAAAAAACGTGGATAAGTTGAGTGTTGACTCGTCGGCTCAAAGTCCTTATTCTTGACTAGCAGCAGCAGCAGCAGCTGCATCTTCCATTAAAAGCCCCTCAAAATATCCTCAAACCAATTCATTTCTCAACTTCAAACCTCCAAGATGAAGCTTTTCCAAATCGTTCTGTTCTTTGCTTGCGTCTCCGCGACGCTCGCTGGCAAGAAACTCAACTTCAACAAAATGAAGGGGGATATCGTCCAGTTGGAGGAAAAGCTTGCATCCGTGTTGAACGACACTACTGGATCCATAGAAGAGTTGGAGTCTGCGATTGAAGGGATAGTTGCCTCACTTGGCGAGATGCAGACAGCTCAAGCACAGAAGGATATCGACCTTGCCTGGCAAGCTCTCCACATGGCTGGAGCTGCTGCTTGTCGAGGTAGTGCCGCTAATGGTGGTAAGGGAAGTCGGTCAAACTCTGTTATCCCCAAAGAAAACGGAAAGAACTGCGACGACCAATGCCAGCTGACTGACCGACCATCCTGCAGAGCTGAGGTGGCAGTTTCTGGATACCCTGGACGAGCAACAGACTACACCCAGACAGTGGGATACTTCTACAACTACGAATGTGATGGAGGCTATCCCTGGAACGTTGATGTTTTAAACCATAACGAGGTAGCAGCTGGGGATGGTGATATATTGACTGCGGACTCAACTTACTACCGATACTGCTGTTGTGCAAGGAGTTAGATATCTGGTTATCAGATTGTTGACGCGAATAATTTGTAGACTCAAAATTTGCAATAAAATGTTTTAATTGATTTTTGATCGCAATGTTCAACCAAGTGTGGTTATTTGTTCGAACGAATTTACTGATCTCAATTTATCAATACTAAAATGTTTCGTGTAAGAAATGGAATATAACAAGTATTACGCAAAAACTTAATATAATAGTGAGGTAATATAAACACTTTTCAATTTATAATCTTTAAAAAAAGTTTAGTCACAAAATTACCAATTGGAGTTGGACAATACACGCACTTAATTAACTGCATCCAGGTCATGAATACAGCCCGCAGCAGGGTTACCAGACGCCGGGTACAGACAACTTAACATACTAGAACAAATAAAAAGTAACAAAAGCGTTAAAATATATTATATGTGCCAAGGTTTGAGGTTTACCTGTAATTACTACTTTTAAAACTTAAACTTAAAAAGGTAAACCTCAACTGTTGAAAAAGACTGTCCACACCTAGGACCTGAAAAATGGCACAGGTACTCCTTTTCCTTGGGTGATATCCAAAATCGTTACATATCAGAACCTTTTTTAAGTTTAAGTTGAAGTTTTACTAGTAATTACGGGTAAACCTTAAACTTAGCGTGCAATATTTCAGGAACACAAGGTCAGATTTTGATGCGGTTTTTCCTACTTGTTTGTCTTCAGTCAATTAACATTGCCAGAATATTTGTATTATCCATTAGCATATGTAATTAAAACTACTTAAAACTACTTAAGATTACATATTCGTCCGCTCATCAGGCATGCTAGCTATGGTATTGGTATGATAACTATGTATAGAAGTTTGATTTCTGTCGGAGGAAGCCCACAGCAGAAAGGTTAACAAAACGAAAAGTTGTATTTTCAAAAGTCTGTCCCATTTTCAAATGTGAAATTTTCTGAAGACAAATTTTACAGATAAGATACAATTTTTGCCCACAAACCAATTAGTCAGTTAATTGATGATAGTACGAAACCAAATTGAGGTACTGGAAGTCAAAATCCCAAATAAAATTGCAAAATCATATTCTCCAAATCTCTGTCCCATTTTCAGTTTTTGAAGATGAAATTTCCAGGACCGAAATTTTACAGTTTTGACTGATTTTGTCACCAGAAACCAATTAGTAAGTTAAATTTAGATACCATATGACACGATTGAGGTGCTGGAAGTCTGATTTCTGTCGGAGGAAGCCCACAGCAGAAAGTTTAACAAAACGAAAAGTTGTATTTTCAAAAGTCTGTCCCATTTTCAAATGCGAAATTTTCTGAAGACAAATTTTACAGATAAGATTAAATTTTTGCCCAGAAACCAATTAATCAGTCAATTAATCATGGTATGAAACCAAATTGAGGCACTGGAAGTCAAAATCCAGAATAAAATTGCAAAATCATATTCTCCAAATCTCTGTCCCATTTTCAGTTTTTGAAGATGAAATTTCCAGGACCGAAATTTTACAATTTCTACTGATTTTGTCACCAGAAACCAATTAGTAAGTCAACTTTAGATGCCATATGACACGATTGAGGTTCTGGAAGTTTGATTTCTGTCGGAGGAAGCCCACAGCAGAAAGCTTAACAAAACGAAAAGTTGTATTTTCAAAAGTCTGTCCCATTTTCAAATGTGAAATTTTCTGAACACAATTTTGAAAGATTAGATGAAATGTTTGCCCAGAAACCAATTAGTCAGTTAATTGATGATAGTACGAAACCAAATTGAGGTACTGGAAGTCAAAATCCCGAATAAAATTGCAAAATCATATTCTCCAAATCTCTGTCCCATTTTCAGTTTTTGAAGATGAAATTTCCATCTTTTTGAAGACCAAATTGGGGTACTGGGAGTCAAAATCCCGATTAAAATTGCAAAATCATATTGTCCCAATCTCTGTCCCATTTTCAATTTTTGAAGTTTCCAGGACCGAAATTTTACAGTTTTTTCACCCGCAACTAATTAGTAAGTCAACTATAAATGGCACGATTGAAATGCTGGAGGAATGATTTCGGTCGGATGAAGCACACTGTAGTTTATTTAAACGAAAATTTTATATTTTCTAATTTCTGTCCTATTTTCAAATATGAAAATTTCTGAACACAACTTTGACAGATTGGATGGACTCATAAACCTGGACCATATTTAGATTTAATGGTCGAACAATCCATAAAATTCACGTGATTTCAAGAAAGCGTTTTTCTTTTTTTAATAGAAGGCAATTGTAGCGAAATGAAATATATTTCTTTTGATCATAAGTTAAAATCGTAAACCAATACAATATAAGCTGTACTTTGTTTATAACAGCTTCTTTGCTCTCCAATAGAATGTAACAATATTGATTCTTAAAACCTGTCAAGTTTCAATTAAAGACGTTAGCTGCATCAGTTATTCTAGGCAAGCCTAGATAAAAATAATCGTTGTTAAAAACTATCCTTATCAAAACGTAAAATGTCAGGTCCCCGTCAGGTCTCATAAATCGGTTTAAATAAGTTAAAAATAGAATTTTCATGTCCCGCTAGTCGTCTTGGTTTGAGCTGAGATAGTTTTGTGCTTTTTCTCTGATACTGTTCAATTTGGCTTCATCTCCGTGAACTGTTTCGAAATCTATGTACCGTTTGAAGAAGAACCTCATCTTTTTGATTGGGAGTTTTAGTCCAACCATTCTGTCAAGTAGCAACCTGAGAGAGAAACTCGATTCAAACATGGCAAAAGCAATCAACCAGATATCAATAACACAGGTATAGGTAATGATCAAAATTACATGCATATTTATCATTTCAAATGGATGTTTTTAACTTTTCTAGATCACGAATCCGTAGCAATTTATTGATGGAAAGTGTACTCAATCGTCATAGTCACGAAAATATTACCCAGATAAGTTGTCAGCTTGAAGAGCAGCTATTTTCCCTTACCTAGACTGCTGGTGGTCATTGAGAGCAATGGTCTTATCCAGATAAACCGCCCACAGATCCAGTCTGTGAGGATAAGTTGTCAAAACGTTCTCGAACATTGTGCTGCCTCGGTTTGGATCTCCTTGCTTGTACTCCGTCTGTGCAAAGTGACATATCGTCCTGATATCTGGAGATAGGATTGTGGTTGTTTGGATGAATTAGGATCGGTCTATACCGTAACAGGGGAAGAAACACAATTAATTGGGGGTGTCCAACCCCATAATCTTAATTTGGGTGTTTACGACGTGCCAAGGCGTGACTTAAAAACTTACGTTTATGTTTGGGTAAGGATTTGAGAGCTTTAGCGAGGAGCTCTCTCATCTCATCTAGACGTTGTTGGGTGGCGAGAGTGGAGCAGTAGTTGCACCAAACCTTCCTCGCTCTCTTGTACTTCTTCAGCAGTACCGAGCTGTACACGTCGTCTAATTCCTGGGCAAGTGACATTGTGACGTCATATCACGTGTTATGTCGTTATAAATATAATGTCATGCATTATTCTGTAACATCTTGTTCTCACAATTTGTTAGTCAAGTTGACCTTGGAATTAATCTCAGAACAGCGAATACACACAAACAACCATCAATTTACCTGGTATTTCTTAGACTTGTCCAAGACAGCAGCAAGCCGGAGGAAGACAGCCTTACTGTCGTTGACAGCAGCCGCCTCCTTGCAGACTGTCATCAGCCCCTCGTGGGTACCGAACGAGTTCTCTAAGTTAAACAGGGCCGACCATACATTCAGCTTCTCTTCTTCTAGTCTGGGAGGAATGGGAAATATTTGATCGCTGTAATTTCTATGGGGAGGGGCAACCCATGCCCATTTGACCAAAAGATGAGGAGTAAATAGGGAAAATGGGCAAAGATCTATAGATGCGATGATACAGTGCAGTAATAGTTAAAAAGTTACACGACACTGCTTTGAAATTGTTCAATGTTCAATTTGTTCATCGGTGTATATAAAATATCAAATTGATTTCTGTGCTCTTCTTACCGATAGTTGATCGTATCCAGTGCTCGTTTGGCTGTGAGTCTAGCCTTGTCCACATTGCCGAGTCCGAGCCAGTACGCCATGTAGCACACCCAGCTAGCTCCACTGTCGGGCTTACTCGCTACCTCCCTAATTTATAGTATTAATATAATTAACACAAGTAATAATAACAATTATATTTGTTGCTGTAAGTTCAATTATTTGATATGATTAGAAATACCTACTGATGAAATGAAGCAGCATGGCACAAGAAAATTGCCGGTTAATTTTGCACTCGTGTGAATACGTAAATAAAGCATGGTTTTTATATAAAGTGCAACAAAGGCAAGTTAAATGTACCTCTCGAAATCGTCTTCGGTCTCAAGAGAAGATGAGTTACTCTTCATTTCTATCTTCCTGATCTCTTCTTCTGCTTCTTCCTTCTTTCGTTTCTTCTCACGTTTTAAGAAACTCTTCCCCTGGATAGGAAGTTTAATTTAGATGAGAGTTGTGTACACATGTACATTGTACTAGTGACAAGAAATATAGATATAAAATTAAAGCGTGCTAAAAGTAATTATTTAATTACCTTTTTAGCTTCTGGCTCGTCTGTTTTAGCACTCCCATCTTCCTCCTCAGAATCGGACTCTTTCTCCTCAGCCAGGACTTCTCTCAACGAGACGCTCTCTGATGGCGTGGTTTTCAATATTTCACGAAATCAGATGAAAGTTTTAGAGATTGAACAATCTAATAACTAACGTATAAAGAAGTTAATAAATCACTACCCATAAATCTTTAACACTAGTCACTAGTTTATCTAATTTTGAGAGTAAAATTAAATCTTAGACAAAAAATAGTAATAGAAAATAGATAACCCAGAAAACTGATAAAGTACAAACCTTCATCAACGTTGGTGGAATCCACACTCTTCTTAGAAGTGAAAACTATCTTGGGGGCATCCTCCACCTCCATAACCTCATCATCTGACTCATCAGCTTCACCAGTCTCACCATCACTGCCACCATCAGAGTCCTGGTATTTCTCCAGCAGTATGTCGTCCAGACATCTGAAAAAATAGGGGGGTTACTTTCTGAGATAGAAAGTAGTAGGGAAAAGGAGGGGAAAAGGGACAGAAAATAGGAAATTGTAGAAAGAAGTAGGGGATAGGGTGGGAGGAAGGATGGAAAATAGGAAATTATATCGCCTTTAGACTTACAAATGAGCCGATATAAATTATTCAATATTCAATGCATACAAGTTTTGTAATGACTGTATTTATCTATTTTTCCAGTCGAAGAACCAGATTTGAACAAAAAAGAATCAGAAGAGGAAAAGAAAATACAAGAGGCTTTTGTCGAAGGCTTTTACATTGCACTAGACATAGGTTCAGATAATGTTCATACGTTCATGACAAGAAAGAATGGTGAAATGGGGTCACGTGTTTTAACTAATATTTAGAGAAAAAGTTATCCATTTTATGTTGAACAAATTTCCGGCAGAATTACCAATAAACTGTATGATATTGTAATTACAGTTAATGCGATTACCGAGTTTTGTCCCATTATCTGATATATTACTCTACCATTGTTTTACATTAGTTGAGCATTTACAGCTAAATAGATCTTTACTTGAGCATCGCTTCTTTGTCTAAAGGTCAAACCATTGTCGAAAATGAAAATTTGATACAGCCATTCTCTTAAGAATACGTTGAGACGGAAATTTGCCTATATTTCCAGATATGACAACCGCAAATTTAACCGTGACCGAGGACAACTTGTTCCGCATCTACCTACAGGACGACACGAACATGGAGTCATTTCACTCATTTTAATATGATATTCTTATTTAAAAGTATCAAGATATTTAAAAATAGAACTTTGGTTGAGCATAAAAAACTTGCCATACACATTATACACATTTATAAGAATTAAATTTTCTTTTCTTGATATCATAAGTTCTTTTTCTTTCAGTTTTTATTTTCACAGTTACTTAAAAGTTTAACAATATAAGTTATTTGTAAACTGAAGGTGGCTGGAAGAGGAAGACGTCATGGTAAGGAAGGAGTTTCTTGGAGGGAATTCCTCCGGAAAAGTATACAGTATACATTATACAACCAGCAAAATTTTCTTCTTCCGACGAGAAAATAACTGAGATTATTAAAGGGGTGGAAGCCCTTAATAAACCAACAATGCATTCTATTCAAACTTGTGTTAAATTCAATTAAAATTAATAGTTAAGATCAATATAACGATTAGATTAACATCATGTTTAAATCTTGTTTCATTTTATTTCTATTCAATTCTTATCTGTTCGTTTCTATTATTTTCTTTCATTTCTATTTATTTATGCTCATTTCTATTCTTTTATTTTTTCTTTCTTATTGCGACTTTTTTCTTTATCTTCTCAAAGATGTCTGTTATCGTTTCTTTTTATCATTATTTTTTCTTCATATATAATGTTTTTTCTGTGATAAGTTAATGTAAGGAATGGTAATTGTAAGGAACCCCGAAATTTCAATCTTCTTTTTAATATAATATAGTGGAACCACCGAAAAAAACAGAGCTTCAAGAACATGGTAGATACTATACGATCAGCACCCCCAAACTATTCTCTACCCAGCCGGACCAGTCTGTGGGAGATGGTCAGATTAGGAAGAAACTTACAACGATTGGTTGAAGCATGCCGTGTCACATAATAATTTTGGAAGAGAAAAAAGACAAGACTTCGGCAAATAGGAAGTTGCTGATATCAACAATCTGTGAGCTGATCACCGCCCTCAAAAAGATAAAAGTAAGTAATTATACTTGAACGTTGAAATGCTATTATTTTTAAAGTACAATCTGAGAATGATAAATTTTAAATATTGAACTGCTGAACTGAGTAATCAATAATTGAATGGGTATTGAACTATTGAGTAAACAATTTAGTTAAACTGACAAAGAGAAAAAAGAAAAAAGATACGTTACTTAAGAAAATATAATCATCTAAATTTTTAACTACTTAACTACTATACAGATTAGTTAAATATTTTGTTTTGTTTGGTTTAACAGTTTATAATGTTATACGTTAAAAAACCAGTTAATCAACTATGTAATAATCACGTTGCTATATATGAACTTAAGCGCAACGTACAAACCATTTATACCCATAACAACAATAATTTGTTTAAATCCACACTTATGATGACTTATAACACTTGCCTGTAATTTTATTGCCTTAATTAATACCTAAAATAATCAAACCAACACAAAAAGATTGAAATTACGCCATTGAAAATAATAATGTACCTCCTAAGGTACCCACTTATCCTCGTCAACTAGTTTAAACAATATAAATATAGTCAACTCCGAAAATGAACATTCAACTGATAATAACGGCGGTCCTAGTCCTGAAATCGATCAGCAGCCCTCAACCACCAGAACCAAGCCCTACAGCTGCTGATCCCCACCTTACAACACTCAATGCCAACCCCCCGATAGACGTAGGAAGAGACGGTACCGGGTTTGTCGCCATCCCTGAAAAAGGCTTACTCCTAGGAAGAACCGGAGCCCTCATATCACATACCTCATACGATGTAGCCACAGTCATCATCCAATTACAGAAGCTAAATTTTACTCAAATCTATCATCATTCACCCCCTAACTGTGACAACAACCTCAAAGCCCAATTACAACTGGTCGAACAGCACTACATAAATGAACTAACTAACCTAGAAAACGCCTACGAAGCCATCCTCCTTTCTGAAATTCAACTGAAATCGGCGCGACTGTGCGACGTGTTTCAGTTGAATGGCCCACGTTGCACCCAAATGCCCACTAGACAAAAACGTTCCTTCTTCACCGGAGCTGCAGCCCTCGCCACTGCCGGCACAGCATTAGATTTAAGCCTACAAAATGAAAGACAAATAAAAGAAATTAAAAATACCTTGGAATCACAGGAGAAAGACCAAACAGAACTCAAAACAACCCTGGCCATTAGAACACAATATCAGGACCAAATGAACGACCAACTTGTCTCGGCAGTTGGCGATTTATACGGATACATTAGGACCCTAAATGCTAAAAATCCCTGTCCAACCTTTGCAGCTGCTGGACACAGCAAAACCAGGCCTACAACTCCGCAGAAAAATCCATTACCCAAGTTAAAGACCTCCTGCAATTCATAATGGCCGGGCAGCTATCCGGCCGACTTACACCTTCCCTCCTAACAGTCCAAGAAATACAGCACCTAGCAGAAGTCCACATAGGCCGCACCTCACAATTCTTTGAAAAATATCCTCATATCCTTTATCAGACTGCAACGGCCACTTTAGTAGAAGGTTTAATAAACCGCGTGTACATGGAGACAGAGTAAGCGGAGTCAGTTCTTTGACTAAACTTCTCCCTATCTGAGTTTTACTTATTGGCTGTTTTTTACAGCTAACTCAGTCAACACGACTACTCCCTATGGATACATCTCAGGTAAATGCCGTGGTTGAGCTCATTCGTGACTCCCACAAGTTCGATTCATCTTTAGGTGTATATTATCATAATATCCAGGATGCTTTGCCTCCTTTATCACATGCTTATTCTGACCCCTGATTCTTATTTAAAAGTATCAAGATATTTAAAAATAGAACTTTAGTTGAGCATACAAAACTTGCCATACACATTATACACATTTATAAGAATTAAATTTTCTTTTCTTGATATCATAAGTTCTTTTTCTTTCAGTTTTTATTTTCACAGTTACTTAAAAGTTTAACAATATAAGTTATATTGTAAACTGAAGGTGGTTGGAAGAGGAAGACGTCAGGTTAGGAAGGAGTTCATTTCTTGGAGGGAATTCCTCCGGAAAAGTATACAGGATACAACCAACAAGAAAGTTCCAGGAAAGTTTTCAGACGAACAAAAATTACTGAGATTATTAGAGAGGTGGAAGCCCTTTAACCGATAATGCATTCTATTCAAACTAGTGTTAAATCCAATTAAAATTAATAGTTAAGATCAATAATATAACGATTAAATTAACATCATGTTATCTTGTTTCATTTTATTTCTATTCAATTCTGTTCGTTTCTATTATTTTCTTTCATTTCTATTTATGTATGCTTATTTCTATTCTTTTATTTTTTTTCTTTCTTATTGTCACTTTTTTCTTTTTCTTCTCAAAGATGTCTGTTATCATTTTTTTAATCATTATTTTTCTTCAGATATATAATGTTTTTCTGTGATGAGATGGAACCAGAGATGGAATAAATGATTGAGGATAATGAAGAGTCGGCCAGAGATATAATCACGAACTGGAACGAGCACGAGAAGAATACTGGAGCAGGAGGAGACTTGACCATGCATCCTTTCTTCACCCTATAATTCAATTTGGATTCAGGAGAGGAAAATCGTGTCATCTTGCCAAAATTAATCTGGTCCATAGAATATAGCAATCTTTAGTAAGCAGGTGGATTACCGTGGGAAGTTTATCTACATATAACTAGAGGGGAAACCCAAGCCATTAGCCTTCTTGAAAGTGCAATTGTAGCCTATACCGGTAAAAATGAATTACTCAATCCAAAAGTAAGAAAGAAAAGAGCTCTATACCCAAACCAAAGATATAATCATGCGAGACAAATTTTGGAAAAAAGCCGAGACTTTAGATCTCCTAGTTACCCCAGCGGTAAAACTGTTACGGATAGCCAATGATACAGAGGACCAAGATGGGAGGGCCACTGAGCCGATGGCAGCATCATATTATCGCTCGTATGAAATACAGGAGCCCTACAAGAATCTAAAACACCCAGTGATACCAAAAGTTATTCTGACTTCCTGTTCGAGATCGTTTAATGATAGATGGTCGCTGTACCATAACGAATTTCACATTTCAGAGAAACTGAAGGTGAGTCACAGAAAACTTCTTGGGTTGGTAGGGGCTACAGGGAGTACCCTTTTATCAGTGTTGGCTCAGCTGTTCGTAGCCAGAAGAAGACGGATGGTTCGGCCTGTGGCCCAGCAGTTGGCCAGAATCGAAACTCCTCCTTCCAGCAAGGCTTCTAGATATTGTGTAATGACTAGAAGAAGAACGATAACGTAC